ACAGGCAAATCGAAAGACCCGTATGGTGTGGTGGTGAAGTGCGCTACTCACCGGTAAGGACAATAGCGCGCGTTTGTTCCCGACCGCATACACCTGCGGTGTGGAGTTTTGCAAATATCTCAGCATTATATACGAATTTTCAGTCATTTGTACCGCCCAGATTTGAAGAGTAATTATGTAGCAGTATCTTCGGAATGAGTATGGATACATTACGAGTATACCGGAAACTCATACAACTATTTAACTAATACAACCTTTCTGATAATGAGATATTTGCGAAATTTGAATCCCTCCGAAATTGAAATAGCGATTACTTTTGCCGGGGGTTCATGTGTTACCCACTGCACCACTGAAGACCTTCTTTGCCTTTCTCCTTGCCAGTTTTCTACCTAACGGTGCCATTAGCAATCACCCGTCGTCGGGAACGATCAGAGGAGCACAAATTGGCCATAAACCCAGTTAAGCTGAGACTGGAGTCGAAATCACAATGTCAACTTTTCATTTACGTAAAAAACTGTCAGAAAGAAAGGCAATGCGAGAGCCTCAGTAGTGCAGCTTGTAACACCGTGTAACACGTAAGCCCCGGAAAAGGCTCGAATCTGGTTTGTAGTTCAAATTTTGCACATATCTCACCATCCTAGTAGTTGTGTTTCGTATCTTCCCATCCGTGAACAATAATAATAGGCAGCAAATAAACACTGACAATTATATAATTCTTCCCACTTCTGTTCAGCAGACATTACGGTTCCATGTGAATTCTTTGCGGTCGGTCTTCATACGACATACTCAGAGGAAGACTCATAGAAAGCGGCTCTGAGGAAGGCGAAATCCGCCGAAACGTCAGCTTGTACGTAAATAAAGAAATAAAATAGCACCTCGTGCTTGCTGAACAGAAGTAGAAAGATATAAAGATTTTAATCCCAAAGCCCATTGGCTACGTGAAACGTAATTGTGCGCTGAAGGTGGTGCGTATTTGAAGAGGCAGGTTGGAAAGTATGCATTGCTCTCGACGCACATTCGTTTCGACCATTTATTTTGCCGCAAAAGGTCTATTTGTTATATTCTCTATTTTGATCCAATAGCTTATCCAATAAATCCTGTTCCATATGTGGTCGGTGAAAAACTTTACCGTACACTTCACAACTTTCAAGAAGCCTTTTTTGGATGAATGTCCAATGCTCATTGCCAGCGAGGAAAAATTAGACTTAGTTCCCAGGCATCCGGTACGCAAATTTTCGACTGGTCACATATGTGTTTAAGAATTTCTGCCAGAGGAAATTTACAACGTGCAAGGATTTTGAGTGGTTCATTTTTCTCACATTAGGTTTATTCATGAGTTAGCTCTATTGGAAATTCGTTCAAGTACTTAATTAAAGAACTATACTGAGCATTGCGATGAATGACAGTAATCATTCAGATTTATTCTGGTGGCGATTGTTGGCACGACTGTGGCTGTGATCAACATAATCGAGAACGTCTTCCTTTGTTTCACGTTATTTGGACGGTAAGCTTCGTCGATAGAAGTTGCTATTCTTTGCAGAATACTCAAAACGATAACTCGTCTTCTCACTTCTATTCCATTCCACTAAGAAGACTACCCTCATTTGTTTCTCGTTGTATTTCAGAGCACCTGCATGAACATTTAATGAATAAAAAGCGACGAAAAAAGTTTAGAGGTGACTGCGTGATCATCTTCTGGAACGAATCTGATTTGTTACGTAGAGCAGATCGTAAACACAAATTTGTTCTGGTTTATTTTTATTTTATTTTTTCATTTGTATGACCCGTCTTCATCTACTGTGCGGATCCTAGCACTTCTCACATTTCATTCATCTCTTCGCATCCATTTTCCGCGAATATTTTCGAGCTTTATGTGTGGCTTCGATTGCTGCTTGATTTCCATTTCATCTTGAACATCGTAGAATGCCTGTCGACTCGATTCTTCCTGAGGTCCTGAGACAGCCGTGCTAAAGCGTTTCCACGTCTTTTGCAGAGACTGAGCCTTTCCCAGACCAGTCTTGTACCAATTTCCTGACGACAGCGAGGTGAGGGGTTTGTTGAGTCCACAGCAAAAGATCGAACCAGTACCTTACTCGTCTTGTTCGGCATCACTGCCAATATGCTACCAGCCAACAATTCTACAAAAGTACTTTTACAAACTCGAAATCGGTCTAGTGCATCGCAAAAAGCTCGTATAATCAGTGGGATATGGAGACATGGAAGTGTTAATGAGCGCACAGTGCAACGTTGGTTTGGAAAATTTTGTGCCGAAATCGACATCGAAGATGAGGAAGATTGTGGTTGGCCATCCGTTGTTACCACGATAAACTGATGGATTTGCAAGGAGCAAGTACACCCACAACGGTTTGAGGACTTGGAGGAGAACTCAGTATAAGCATCTCAATTTTTTCGAAGCTCGAAAACTCTTGGCAGGTCGAAGAAGCTCGCCATTCGTAGGGACTTAACGACATCCAAAAAATCACCGATTTGAGATATCGTCGGCTCTTCTACTGCTAAGTCAGGACATCCTGTTTCTCGGCCGTTGTGTGACTTGTGATGGGAAATCGATCCTCCATGACAGTCAGCGACGATCGACTCACTTAAATGGCCCTCTTTGAACAACTTTCTAAAGCAGAAATTGCACAAAAAAGAAGATCATGGTGGTCTACAGGTAATCCGATTCATCACAGCTTCCAGAATCTGAATAGAATGATTACGGCGGAAAAAAAAACGTCCAACAAATTGACAAAACGCACTAGAAGCTACAACGGCCCCAAATTGGTCAAAAAGAAGGGACCAGTTCATCTCCATCCTAATGCGTGGGCGAGATGGGCCACCTGACAGATTTATCCTCTATACTCGTCATACCTCTCGTCTAGCAGCTACTACTTCTTTAAACATCTTGATAACTCCTATTCGGGAAAAGATTCAGAAGCCAAGCCGAGGTCGAAACTTTTTTCAACGACACGATAGCCTCCAAAACCTAAGAATTTTGTTCAAACGCTATAAATAAACTTGCTTCTGAATTACTTCTCCTCAACAATAATGTGCAAGTCGTTTTTATTCCTATTAGTGAAGTTTATTTTAAGCCGAGATAAATGAGATATGTCAATTAGAAAACACCTGTTAGAAGACTTTCTGAATAAACTAACAATCCTAAAAGCGAATGTGAGAGCCTGTTAGGAATCGAAGGGAATCTTATGCTAAGAGCTTTTGCCAGAATGCCTAATAATCAAATCGGAAAGACGCTACTCAGGAATGACTAAGCTCGAAAAAGTAGTTAAACTGAAGGAAACAAAAATATTAAGGTGTTGGTGGTGTGTTCTATAACAACAATGCTGGAGCAAGCATAGGTTCGGCAAACTGGTTTATTTCCTTCTTCGATTTATCTTCCACCTTCCATATCTTTCATATAGACTATACCTCTTCTAATTACCATTTGCCCACATATTTCAGAGCATCCTAACTTTTAGAGGAGTTTAACACACGGCAAATTGAATTGGTTTTGAAGCGTTTTGATTGAGAATAATTCGCTTCTTAAATCTGAAAAAAATATATGCATACACTTATCGACTTGTAGCAAACTTAATTGGTTTAAATGCTCATCATTAGGATCTGCAGTTTCTGTTAACAAAATGCAGATCTTCGTGTTCTACGACAACGCAACTGCTGCTTTTTGCAGTTCACCAATCACCTTTTCTCGCGTTTTTCAGTTTGGGCTCGTAGTCGAACAGGCGAGACATTGCACAAGCTGAGCTACGTACAAGAGCACTGTTTACGTTTGCAACTACTTTGTTTGTGTTGAAACTCTTAAAAATTCGAGACTCCTCTCCAATTTTTTGCATTTCTTAACAGGTGAAAACTTAATTATATGGTTATATATGACTTAAGTGTGCTCGTGTAGTGCATTATTTGAAGTGCCCATAATACACACAAGGCAGGTTGTTGATTAGATCCCGCACCTCGGCCTAAAGACGCTTTCCATTGATCCGGTTTCATAAAATGTTACTTTGAAAGTTGCCCAAGTACTAACTCTAATGGACAAAATCCTAGTCTTTAAAACTATGTAGATCACCTGTATTAGTTTTTTCGTTGATGATTTCAAAAGTTTTGCTAGAAAGTAATCCTGCAATTAGTGGAACGTTGGCAGAATGGCAGCGAACAAGCATTCACCACTTATTCCTTGTATTTTAAAGCAAACATCTGCTATGAACTTCATTTGAAGGAAAAGGTCCAACATGTATTTCGGCTCAATGTGTGACCGGAGATTATTTAATATTTGCTTTCCAAGAATTCACGAATTCACATAAACCTGCCTTCGTTATTGTAGATGCTAGTGCAGTTATAGGCGTGCAACTTGTTCGCTCTGTTTAAGCACTACATTTATTTTGAACCACTTCTTGTATAAAATTATAGGTTTTCGGCAGCAGCTCATATGAATCTGATGAAATGTTAGTACTAAGAAGAAAAAATCAGCTCAAGATGGAAGGTGCTAGCATTTCTTTTCATAGTAAGATCATTAACTCACAAGTTGTCAGTTCAAATTGTAAAACATGACTGCAACAACCATACGTTTTCCGTTTCTATTCGAGCTTCTGACTTATTAGATGATCACCAGCCGTTTATTTCTTACATTATTTACATGACTTGTCATCATATCTACCTTGGTGATCCGAGCACTTTTTGCATTCTATTGGTTTTCCTCACATTTATCGTCCACAAAAGTCTCCGAACATCTAACATGTTGCTTAGAGATGAGGATTTCGTTTTCTTTATGAATGTTGCAAAATGCTGGTCGAGTCAATTCTTTTTACAATCTTAGGGATAAGGGAGGCCGTGCGTTCCCGCGTGGACTGGGGGAAGCCGTTGGAAATTAGGTCGAACCAGTGCTTTGCTTCCTAGTAGACTGTATCGCTAACTACTCCGATATCTCCCACCCATTAGCCCAAAATTAAGCGGAAAAGTAGTGGTAGTGGTCTTTGTAACGGAAGAGCGGGAAAATGGAACGATCTTCAGGTAACCGTGACAACCTTGGATTTCTTCTTCGAAGTTATGAATAATAGACAGCAAAAGAAACGATTTTGACAGGCAATTTCAGCAAGTCGTACCGTTCGTCGCACTGCCTCTACCTAGCGTTGCTGGCGTTCTTCGACATCTTCATCGCCGGGGCCTACATTCCGCTGATGAGTCTCAACATAGTCGTCGATTACTGGAAATCGGTGGTGCTGCTAAGAGCATGGTCTGTCTTACACAAATTTAAACATTATTATTGGTTTTCTTAATAATTGACACCATTTCCAATTTCTGAAGAAATACCGCGTGTGCTTTTAAATGGCATCATCAATGAAAAATCCGAAAACGGAACTCTATAGCAAATATCAAAGCAGATAGTGCAAGCTGTACACCAAATGAAGCATCTATTCCTCTTTCACTTACATTCACTGGCTTGACAACATCAATCTTCCCTCTTTACTTGAACTAAATTGTCCAAAGTGGCGGATTTCCGTTCCTATAGCAGAAACCAATAAACAAAGAACAAAAGAAAACTACGGTGAGCATGATGTAGTTTGATTGCAATTACCACGATATTGCTGAGGTGCTGATAAAACTATAAAATTGCTAAGGCGAAACCGGATGGTGCAGTGGTGAAGTGCGCTGCTCCCCGGTAAGGACAACAGCGCGTGTTCGTTCCCCACTGCATACACCTGTGGTCCGGAGTTTTGCAAATATCTCAGCACTTCATACGAGTTATATTTCACAACATACCCTGCCATTAAGAAGAAAAAGGCAGTAAATAAAAGAGTTAAGGCTAAGGCGAAAGTCAAAAGTTATTCATCCATTTTCATTATCACTAACATCTCAATGTCTTTCAACGATTTCCATAGACCAGTCACCAATTCGAAATAAATCCATGGTTTAAAGTCCCAAAATTTTATCACCTTCGTCAACTTTTCACCGACTTTAAACAAATTCTGATGTGCATCAAAATGTCCATGTCGGTGTCCCTTGAAAATTTCACCGTTTATTCAGCACACTAGTTTACTCACTGAAGAATTCATTTTTTTCCTCTTCTTTTGTTTTTTTTTTTCTTCTTCACACTAAAATTTCCTAACCCTCCAATGAATTTCTTATTGCTGTAACCAACGAAATTCGTAATTGTTAACCGTAAAGTGTAGACCTTAATGTGCCAAATCTAGCGCTACCTCTGTGCTGGATAAGCTGTCGGTTGAGTTCAAAAAGTGGTGCAAATGAGATCTGTCGTGAAACATTCGCAAAGAATATGGCTTGAAATCGATGCATATGGTCCACTCTACCCACTTTCTCATGCATTGATATTGATATGTAAGATCACTTATGTGCTAAAAGTGTCTTCATTCTAGGTTCAGCTACATGATTCCGATGATTACCGTGTCACACATTGCCATGACAGCCTCATCGTTTCTAATGGTGGCCGCGAGTTTCGAACGCTACTGTGTTACCGTACACCCACAATGCACGAAGTTCCTCAATCGAAACAGGTTTCCATATAGTTGCTTTTACATTTATATTATTAATAAGGCACAATATATAGAAAACAAAAAAGTTTTTCGCCTCATCGCTGAAAACTTGATTCTATAGAAATAACCCGTCTCACTTCATGAGCGAGAAAAACTCTTTTTAACAATTCTGTAACAAGATAGTCCACACGAGCCTGCCAAGAATTTAACCTATCTAATTTTAACCTACCTACCAAGAATTTGTTTAGCATCGTTCTCATCGTGTTTCTAGTCGCACATTCCAGGAATCGGATTGCGGCTGCCAGTGTTTTTCTCGGCGTCGCCACAAAATGCACGCATCCGTTCGAATTTGAGGTCCGTTGCTGAAATGATCCATTTTCTTCTTTCGCTAATTTAATCCAACATCCAATTCGCCGTCCGTCTTCTTTCTCTCCAAAGTAGTCAGGCCATGGCACTTTTCGTGATGAGATTGAGGGAAGAATGCCAAATCAGCGTGAAGCAAAAAAGAAACAAAATCGGACGTTTTCCAGGTTACTTACGTTCCTGAGTGTCTTGGCACAATGGGCGAATACACGCTCGGTCTGTCAACGTTAGCACTTGATGAGATCTACAATGCATACTGGCGAATATGGTGAGAATTCCGCCATTCACCGCCATGCCAAACATCCTTCCGTGACTCTTCTTTGCATTTCTTCTTATCGCCTTTCACTACCGAAATGAACTTTTTGGCCGATATTTCTGTTTGAAAGAGGAAAAATGGGATGTCACTCAAGGCTACGGGCTCCAAGTGTTCCACATTTTTATTAATTTGAAATATCGCGGTAATTTCAGACTTGGCTATATTTCTCCATGCCATTCCACAGCTTTGGAACGATTTCATGTTAAGCTTTGCTAATTAACGTACAATCGACCTTTACGGCCATGGTTTAGGTGAAAAAAGAATAGTTTTCAGGTTTCGTTCTGTGTTCACCATTTTAATTCCATTCTTTCTTCTGGCATTTATGAACATTCGAATTGTACTGGTTACACAACGAAGTGAATTCCAATTTCTCAGCTCTCACAAACTTAGCCAAGCGAAGCGAAAGGTGAGATATTGTCCTTTATTACTTTTAAATATTAAAAATTTACAGATTTGCTGTTGTCCTTTCCGGGGAGTAACGCGTTCACCACCACACCATGCGGGTCTTTCGTTTCGCCTGTCTCTCAGCTAGTTCTATCAATCCTTTTCCATCAGCAATCACCCGTCAACGGGATTGATCTAGAAGCCTAAATCGGCATTGAACCCAGTAAAGCTGAGGCTGCAGTTATAATCACAATTTTAACTTATCATTTACTGCCTACCCTTTTAACGGCATGGCATATTGCGAAATATAAAAGTTAAAAAGAATAGGCAGCAAATAAAAAGGTTAAGATTGTGATTATAACTGTAGCCTCAGCTCAACTGGGTTCAATATCGATTTGGGCTCCTCACATCAATCCCGTTGACAGGCGATAACTGATGGCAAAAGATCGATAGAACTAGCTGAGAGAAAGGCGAATCGAAGGACCCGTATGGTGGGGTGGTGAACGCGTTACTCTCCGGAAAGGACAATACCGCGTTCGTTCCCCACCTCAGACACCTGCGGCCCGGAGTTTTGCAAATATCTCAGCATTATAGTAGTTATAAAACATTTTTGTTCTGATTTACACAGACATGAGCCAAGAGGCTTAGCGTGTGGATATCGTTCGAAGATCACTGACCTCGAAGTTCTTAAAGGGCACTGAAGTCATCATTAAAGAGTGAGAGGGATTAAGCAATCAAAAATATAGCATTATAGTAGTTATATAAATCTGCATTATAGTAGTTATATTTCGCAACATACCCTGCCGTTAAAAAAAGAATAGGCAGTAAATAGAAGGGTTAAAAATGTTTTTTGTTAGAAAGTTAAGAACCATCCTGCTAGCGCAAATCGTAGATTGCACTTTAGCGAGTTCATTTGTAGTCACGCGTTCGTGCCGCCACTCGAACACTGGTGTTCGTGGTGGCCACCTACTTGCTGTCGAACATCCTCAACGTCATCATCACCATTTGGGAGTACATCGACTATGAATCGATAACAGTCACTTTTAGCACTTTCTATGTTTTTGCTGTTGATGTGGTAAGTTGAGGTTATGGTTGAAACAAAAGACATTAAGAAGATAAAAGGAGTGGTTATTAAGTGTTTAGGAATGAAGAAATTCTAGAAATCACTTAGAATCTCACCGAGGAAACCATTATTCACGCTAACGGATATTCCGTTCTCCACTTCTTAATCAGACCCTGTTTTGAGATGGTAAGATTACTGCGGAGTAAGACTTCGTGTAATACATTGAATGGGATATATTGGTGGAATAAATCGCGTTATAACTGAAATATAGCACTGAGCAAAACGCAGGAAAAAACTTTTCATTTTCTTCACTATCGAAAAACTTATGTTTTCTTCGAAATACTCAGTCTACTTTATTTTGAAAGTGTCCAGTTAGCTTATATCTCCAAAACTCTTGTCCTTAAATGCTTAGTGCCTAGTGCTTCTAAAACAAGGTCTATGTAAAAGCCTCAGGTGATTGGAAATGCGTTTCGTTTCATAGTCTACATGCAGGAAAGTGCCTGTTAACATGGTATATTCATGACCCACAACGGACAATGTTGAGGCTGTAACGGACGATAACCCATACCCAAAACAGAATGTTGGTTCGCGGAGTGGGCGGTGCTGTTGCATACATGTGGTTTATTTTGTCGTTCAGAACATTTGCCTTTTTCTCCATCCATTCGATAGCTTGTCGGGCGCTGATCAACGTTCCAGAAAAAAACCTTTCTTCATATTTTTACTACGGAAAATTTGATTTTTGACCGAGTTTGTTTGTCAAGCCAACTGCAGTTTCCGCAACAAAACACAATGCTTAAGGACATCTCGCCTGCGTGTAAAGTGGTAAACCATGGAAAAAGCTTATATAGATGTTATTTAAGCGTGAATATTTAGTAGACACTATCAGAATGGCTGATTGTGTTTAGAAAGGACTAGGCGTCCATAGGGTGCAGGTTCATCGATGTGATTTTACACATTGCCTCTCTGAAAAAAACTTCACTTCTTATTCGCTTAAAGCTTTGCTGATGGTCTAAAGATTGTGTTCAAAAAAGTTTTCTAAACCTGTAACCTTTACGATTTCACTCCCTTGCTCTTCTAAATTCGACTGAACCGAGAATTACATAGTTGCGTGCATGCATATTTGGCTTATACAAATGCTTGGTGGGGCGTACTGATGTACATCAAACAAATTTGTTACCAATTTTCCAACCTCTGTGAGCTGACGGTATGGTTTTCTTGAGCAAGATCGAACCAAAGACCATGTATGTATTGTATCACATCTCCAACCACTGCGCTACGCTTTTACGAGAAAAAGAATCAGTTATTTTCCCGGCTATATTTCGTTCAACAGCTCTTTCCACTGCATCATCATTGTTATAAATTTTATCATCACGAAGCATAGGATTAACATCGATGGTAAGGCATAGCGCGATTGAAATCTTAGTTTATTGTCGTCTCTGTTTGAGAATGGAGGTGTTTGTCTGGGTAAATTGAAATCAACCCGATTTCTTTTCAAACACTGAAGAAGGTGAAATTCGCCAGAAGGTCAGCTTATTTGTAAATAAAGAAAAGAGGAACAACCTCGTGCTTGTACCCTAGGAATGCAGTGAATTGTTTAACGAACGCAGAAAGAAATAAAAAGTCGGTCTTGTGAATTTATTCTATCAAAAATCTAACAGACAGCAACCTCCCAACGATTTTCGCCTCATCGCGGCTGGGAGGTATTCCTGAGTGTCGGGTTGCGGTGTACAACTGAAGGATTCATCATCAATTAGGGTCTCCCAAGCTGAGAAGGAGCCTGGCGTTTCTATAAGAAAGCCCAGTTAAGTGTAAACCAATGCCATAAACCACTGACGTCCTGATATGACAAACTCAAACTAGTGGAGTGGTGACAAATCACTCTGTGATCCGCGAGGGAGGCGACCGCCTAAGATGGTGATGACCCGGGACAAACTTTGGTTAGGCTGACCTTCGGACTCCAGAGAACCACACTGGCTAAGCCAGCAAAATTCCGAAAAAGTGGAAATTGTGCTGAGACCTGCACAACCAGTGAAGACTTGGCATCCAAGTATCCAAGTAAATATGTATCTGACACACCAATTTCTCGAGGGAGGATTCAATTCTGAAGGATAATATGTACATTCCATTACCTTTTCTAGGAGTTAACACGTGCATTGTCCATGTGTGCTACCGAGATCGGTCCCGTTGATGGTTGATTGTGATAGCACCTATAAAACACGGTTGAGAGTAAGGCGAAAGAAGACACCCGTATGGTGTTGTAGTGAACTCGTTACCCTCCGGAAAGGGTAATGACGTGCTAGATCCCCATCTCAGACGCCTGTCGCCCAGAGTTTTGCAAATATCTCAGCATCATTGTGATTATATTTAGTCATAATCCACCATGAAAAAGTAGATTAGGCAGTAGGTAAAAAGTGATTACGATGTCCTCATTTTTTGAGCGTTATTTAAGAGAGTGAAAACACTCTGAGTGGAAGCATTTCCTACACTGATTAGATTTAGTTTCCACGAGCGCTTTCTAATGTATTTGGAGTCGTATTGAATTGTTAACCTCTTGAAGCATCCAGCGCAACTTTTCTATTTTCTTCGTTTTGGGCTTGTTTCTTGCAGGAAACGACTAGACAATGGCAAAAAGCACAGCTATCCTTAAGATAAGCCTCATTTACACGTATCCTGAAGTCACTGACCCCGATTTCCCGCACGTAGTTCTAACAGGTCCCCTCTATATGTATACAAAACACTTTTGCACTACTGCGCACATGAAATAGTACACGAGTAAGCAGAAACATGTGCAACATTTGCTTGTCCTCCTTACATATGGATAGTGGAAGGGCATTTAGCTGCTGGTGTCCACGAGCACGCCTTCAGCAGTACCACAATCATTTTCGACGGTGAGTTCATCGAAGGAGGAGTAGGCTTCATCATTTATTTATACCGTACTCCGATATAAAATCAAATTGTTCAGCAGTAAAACTCATACGGAGCGATAAACGAGGGAATCATAAGAACATAAAGAGATGGTCCTACCAATCACATCAACACGAGATCTGTTAGGCTTAGAAAACAAATCAAGCGGAACAAGATGAAAGAAAAGGGAAATGACAATAATAAATGAGCAAGAAAGAAATCGAATTCCTTGATAGAAAGAGGGTGATATAGAAAAATATAGAAAATAGTAACACTCATCGCTAGGAAGACGGTAACGTAGAAAAATTATTGTATATAGTAGCATTAGTAACATGTGTATCCCAGAGAAATGGAACAAAACCTCTTATTAAGTTGGCAGCTTTCCAATTCCTACAGTTTCTAGAAAATCAGTATAGTCAATTATATGCCAAGCCTAAAAAACCAGTCTCGAACAATGACAAGCATAAAGGATGAAGCGATCAGCGTTGATGAGCAGAGGCACCATACATCCAACTACATCAGCTAGCTTTAGAGCGGGTCGGTTTCATATCTGCCCTATACCGTATCACTTATCGATGTATCCAGTCAGTGTTGTTACCCTCCAGACACATTGGTTACTCATTTGTCAACTCCGGAGGTATGGAAAGCCTGGTGAATCATGAGCGGAAGATAGAACCAAAGATCATTTGTGTGTTGCAGTGCACCCAAAACCCTTGCGCTACACACACTGTTTGGCCAATATCTGGTTGTTACTTCTTTTTCACTCTTTGTCGTGAATGGTTTTTGTATCGAATACATGAATACCATATGAATGAAGTGCTGACAACAATGTGTCTGCATACTTAGCCATAATATTTTAGAGTCAATATTTACATCATCCCAAAGGTTTACACCCTCATCGTGGCTGGAAGGTGTTCCTGGGTGTCGGACTGTGATGTGCAGCGAGGATATTCATCCCTACGGCAGAGTCTCCCAATCTGAGAAGGAGTCCGGCGTTTCTTGCAGGAAACTCAGCTAAGAGTAAAACAATGTCAGAACCCAGTACCGTCTTGGTATCAAACTAGTCGTTTGGTGGCAAATTTCCTTCTGATCCACAACGGCTGAGACTTCATGTGCTAGTGACGACCTCGGGCAGACTTCGGACTCCAGCAAACCACATTGGCCAAACCTACAAATCTCCAAAGAATGAAATTTATGCTGTGGCCCACAGCCAGCGAAAACAAGCCATCCAAGCATCCATGTATCCAAGTATTCGATATTAACATTTACACGCAAAAACAGTAGAGCACACCCTCTTCTTTAAGTCTGTTAAGTTAGCAGGTACACCCTAGTTAACAAAAATCAATCGTGTTTTATGATGTATCAGCATCGCCCACTGTTAGGTGACAGAGATCTCTGAATTGCAGCCAAGCCATATCGTCGCACCCGGACGTCGCGCGATAAAGTTCCAAGCTCAGTACAGGTTAAGAGTAATGGAAAGAATTACGGTTCATAAATTGAAAGAAAATTTTCAAATTCGCATTAAATTTTGCAGTTTTCACGTAGTGGCGCATTCGCGGACCACGGAATGTTTCCTCTTTAAAATGTTTAACGTTTTGTTTTCTGCCTTCTATAATTTTCATGGCAGGTTACTAAGCGAAATACAGCCACAACGTTGCTGAGATATTTGCAAAACTCTGGACCGCAGGTGTCTATGGTGGGGAACGAACGCGCTATTATCCTTTCCGGGGAGTAGGGAGGAAATAAAAAAGGTTAAGATTGTGATTATAACTATAGCCTCAGCTTAACTGGGTTCAATGCCTATTTGGGCTCCTCAGATTAATCCCGTTGACGAGTGATTACCGATAGCAAAATCGATAGGATTAGCTGAGAGACAGACGAAACGAAGGACCCGCATGGTGTGGTGGTGAACGCGTTACTCCCCGGAAAGGATAATAGCGAGTTCGTTCCCCACCATAGACACCTGCGGTCCAGAGTTTTGCAAATATCTCAGCAACGTTGTGGTTGTGTTTCGTCTTTATTCAGAATTGGCTACGTAGACAAATCAGTTGAACCGCGATTATGATTCGTTTTAACCTGTGATTTTTCTTTAGGTGTCGCTGCTGACTATATTTGCT